CAAGCATCCTCTCACGTTTTGGAGCCTTCGTGAGTTTCAAGTTCATTGCTTTATGAATCTATAAACTAAGATCTAGGTTTTTATGCTTAAATCCTTCTTTCCCTTGATGAAATAGTGGTTGGAATCCATAAAGTTAGAAACTTTATGGATCTCCAGCGCCTCTTAAGTATTATAACTTCTAGATCTGGATTTTGGTGGAGTTTTATGACTTGCATGAGGATTTAGTATCGTTGTCTTACTTTGCACTAGGGATGAGATTTAGAATCGGAAAACCGAACCAAAACCGGAATCGGACCGGAACCGGAACCATTAGAACCGGAATATATAGAACCGGTTCCGGTTCCGAGTTTAAAAAATTATAATTATCCGGGTTTCGGGTAATCCGGGTTTGGGTTCATCGGGTCCGGGTAAACCGGGTCAAAAAACCGAAAACAACGTTAGGAACCGGAACCACTTTTAGGGTCGGAATCGGTTTTTGTGAAACGTTTAAAAGATGCATATCTCATTCGTTTCAACTCCAATTAACATGAGGTTTTTTCTAAAGTGTAGTTTAGAGTTTGTACATGATTTTAGATTATAAATTTGCCATTTTTAGTTTTATATTCATAGACTTATAGTCCCCCAAAGTCGAGATATCAAAGTTGAATGTTTTTAGTTTTTTAGTTTTTTTTGTATTCTGTGAAAGTTTTAAAACATGCATATCTAATTCGTTTGAAGTCGGATTGACAGGTGGTTTTTTCCAACTTGTAGTTTACAGTTTGTACATGAGTTTAGACTATAATTTTGTCATTTTTGGTTTAATATTCAATGATTTACAATCCCCCGAAGTTGGAATATCAAAACTGAAAATTTTCAACTTTTCAGCTATTTGTTTTTGTACTTTGTATTCTGTGAAAATGTTAACACATGCATATATCATTCGTTTAAAGTCGGATTGACATGCGGTTTTTTTCCAGAGTGTAGTTTAGAGTTTGTACATGATTTTAGACTATAACTTTTTCAATTTTGTTTTCATATTCAATGAGTTACAGTCCCCCAAAGTCGGGATATCAATATGAAAATTTTCAAAGTTCAGCCCACTAAATAGTAAGTAATAAAAAAATCCGGTTTTTCCGGTTCCAACCTACCTACAGTGATGTTTCTGGGTTTTCCTCTTCTAGACCCACTTTACCCGGTACCGTACCTGGAACCGAACCGGAACCGGTTCCTATATACCGGTCCGGTTTCCGGTTCTACAAAATCCCGTTAACCGGTTCCGGGTTTTCCGGGTCCGGGTCCATCCGGTTCAGGTTTGGACCCACTTTCATCCCTACTTTGCACTTTAGTGGTGTTTGGGACATGCATTGGGCATGCAAGTCCAAAAATCCATGATTTTTATGATGCGATGGAGTGGTTAAGACCCTAGGAAAGATTTGGTTGTTTGGAAAAAAAGGAATAAGAACTTCTATTCAGGGACGTCCTCACGACGTGAGGCCCTGGGATGTCACGACGTGTGAATGGTAATCCCCGTCTATTTTGGACTTATTGGGTCACGACGTGACCAGTGAATAATGGACTTGACCAAGTTTGACTCAAGGGTATTTTGGGGAATTTCTACTAATTTAGAATGGGAAATGTTTTGATCACTAGGAGTCGAGTAGTACCGGTTGTCGGAGCAGAGATTCATTCAGATTGTATCCGGATTGAGAGGTGAGTTTTCCTCACTGTACTTACGGGTCGAAGGCACCAAGGCCGACCCATTGGATTGATATCTTGATTTACCGTATGTTACTATGTTGTGGTGATATGTTAGATCTGTATCCTGGTATATAGGATGTTGCTATGCTGTAGTGATCTGTTAGATCTGTATCCTGGTATACAGGATGTTGCTATGCTGTAGTGATATGTTAGATCGGTATCCTGGTTTATAGGATGTTGTTATGCTGTAGTTATCTGTTAGACCTGTATGGCCACCTGTATATGCTAGCTATTGATTGTTATGGTATATATTGATATGTGATGGTGTAACGGGTTGAGGCGGTCCTGCTTTTTGCTGAAGGCCAAAATACCCAGGGCGGTTTGGATAGACTGAAGGCCTGCGAGGCGGACCAGTCAGGTTGAAGGTCCGGAGAGCGGTCCAGATAGGCTGTAGGTCCGGTGAGGTGATCCATTCATGCTAAAGGCACTGTATGCATGATGCTATTTGTTATGTTCATGTGTTGGTACTTTGGGGGAAACTCACTGAACTTTGGCTTACAGTTTTAGTTTATGGTTTCAAGTACTTCTGATGATCGTGGGAAAGCGAAGGCGTGACTGTACACATCCTCTTGTCTGATGACATTATGATTTTGGGATACTATGATATTCGATAAACATTTTGGAAACATTGGTTTTGTAAACATTTTTATAACTATGGGTTGTTTTTGAAAGTTTTAAATTGTTGTGATTTTTGGGATGTTACACAAATATTCTGGCCAATTCATTTTTTTTACTTAGCCTATCGGTTTTCAAAATATCGTACAATGAAAATGAAGTTTGGGACACATTCATTTATAGTAAAACTTTAGGCATGAAACAGAATACTATATAAATTATAGGGTAAGTTAAAGGACCATATATGTAAATATACTTATATTATTTTGATTTAATCCTAGTGGTATTCATTTACATCACACTAAAATAAAGATATGATATTTATTGTAAATGTAGGGTAAATTAAAGGACCGTAAATGTAAATATAGTTATATTATTTTGATTTGATCGTAATTTTACACTGCACTGAAATAAATATAAGGTATTTATTGTAAATGCAGGATAATTTAAAGGACCAAAAATGTAAATATAACTATATTATTTAAATTTGATCGTATTGATATTCATTTACACACCATTGAAATAAAGATAGGGTATTTATTGTAAATGTATGGTAACTTAAAGGATCATAAATGTAAATATAGTTATATTATTTTGATTTGATCGTATTAAACATAGCGATATTTATTTACACCGCACTGAAATAAAGATATGATATTTATTATAAATGTAGGGTAACTTAAAAGACCATAAATGTAAATATATTTATATTATTTTGATTTGATCGGTATTCAATTACACTGTACTGAAATAAAGATAGAGTATTTATTGTAAATATAGGGTAACTTAAAGGACAATAGATGTAAATATAGTTACATTATTTTGATTTAACAATAAATATGATTATATTTTAATTTTATTATAAAAACGCTTATATATAATATAGGACGTATGTGTATGTTTGCCGTGCTAAACAAACTTAAAATCTTTTTAATAAGTTATCTTTTGTATATTTATTCAAAACCCATCGGTCTTATCTAGTTATGTAATTAGGAAAAATATCATATTACGTTTGTTTATATTCAAAAGATGAAAAAGAAAATTA